GTGAAAGAAAACAGAGGGAAAAAAGCCTAAAAAAAGAAAACACATGCAGCCACCACACCTAACGACAGTAAGGCTGCAATATTTTACATTCTTGGTTTTGGTTTACTTTGCCACTTTAGGTATATGTTGCTGAAATTGACAATAAATTACGTTCTTAATTCCAAACTGACTGTTTTCCATAAACATGTGAAAATTGAAGATGGCCAGCCCTGTTTACTGGCAGTAAAAGCACCATTCTAGAGTACAACAGCTTGCTGTGAACTGGAATTCCTCCACGCTCTCAAGTACAATGGCCTGGATTGTAGAAGTCAACATAGCCTTTTTACAAAGGAGCATTAAACCGCATCACATACAGTATGCACTGCAAGAATGTACTCAACAATGAACTTATTTCTCTACATAGAAAGATGGTGCTTTTACAGTCACAGGATTTCATGTATTCTTCTGACTGAAACAAAATCATATCAATGTAAAATGTTATCCATAAAAGGAACCAATGTGCTGAGAATACTATTAATTATTACAAAATAAATGGAACTGCATCAGCAGTAGTTTGAATACATTATTAAGCAACGTTGCTGTTAGAAGCAAGTTGTGTCCATTAAAGTACTAGTTAAGGCTCGTTCACACAGATTCAATGAAAATAAATATTATCGTGTGATTTCACATGTGCTGCCATTTGATTAGGATGTGTTGCATGTTTTTAAGCTTTGTTCGATGGATTTGAAATACAATACAACATGAACTGCAGAATGCAAGATATCTTCAAAGCACTGGATGGACTTTTGTCTTTTTTCAGCCAGGCTAACTATGTAACACTGCAATACATTGTTGGGCCACATTGATATGAGTGCATTTGTAATGTAGCATACAGTTGTCAGTATTACAAAATTGCATCTGTGTGCAATTTCATCTCCTTTTCTCTGTGAGATACTGTGTATATATTCACTATATTGCCAAAAGTATTGGGACACCCCTCCAGATCACTGGATTCAGGTGTTCCAAACACCTCCATGGACACAGGTGTATAAAATCAAGCACCTAGGCATGCAGACTGCTTCTACAAACATTTGTGAAAGAATGGGTCGCTCTCAGGAGCTCCGTGAAATCAAGCATGGTTACTGTGATAGGCTGCCACCTGTGTAATAAGTTCATCCCTGAATCTTCCTTGCTACTAAATATTCCACCGTCAAATGTTATTTTAACAAAGTGGAAGCAGCTGGGAACAACAGCAACTCATCAATGAAGTGGTAAGCCATGTAAAATGACAGAGCGGGGTCACACAGGCGCACAGTGTGCAGAAGTCGCCAACTGTCTGCAGAGCACATAGCTAAAGACCTTCAAACTCTGTGTGGCCTTCAGATTAGCACAACAGTGTGTAGAAAGCTTAATGGAATGGGTTTCCATGGCCGAGCAGCTGCATCCAAGCCTTCGTCACCAAGTGCAATGCAAAGCGTCAGATGTCACATGCCGCCACTGGACTCTAGAGCAGTGGAGATGTGTTTTCTGGAGTGACGAATCGCTTCCCTGTCTGTCAATCTGATGGATGTGTCTGGGTTTGGCAGTTGCCAGGAGAGCGGTACTTGCATGACTATATTGTTCCAACTGTAATTATGGTGTGGAGCTGTTTTTCAGGACTTGGGCTTGACCCCTTAGTTCCAATGAAGGGAACTCTTAAGGCATCAGCATACACAAAGACATTTTGGACAATTTCATGCTCCCAACTTTGTGGGAACAGTTTGGGGGTGACCCCTTCCTGTTCCAACATGACTGCGGACCAGTGCACAAAGCAAGGTCCAGAAAGACATGGATGAGCAAGTCTGGGTGGAGGAACTTGACTGACCTGCACAGAGTCCTAACCTCAACCTGATAGAACACCTTTGGGATGAATTAGAGCAGAGACTGCGAGCTAGGCCTTCTTGTCCATCATCAGTGCTTGACCTCACAAATGTGCTTCTGGAAGAATGGTCAAACATTCCCATAGACACACTCCTAAACCTTGTGGACAGCCTTCCCAGAAGAGTTGAAGCTGTTATAGCTACAAAGGGTGAGCCAACTCAATATTGAACCCTATGGACAAAGACTGGGATACCATTAAAGTTCATATGCATGTAAAGGCAGGTGGCCCAATACTTTTGGCAATATGTGTGTGTGTGTGTGTGTGTGTGTATGTGTGTGTGTATGTATGTATATATATATATATATATATATATATATATATATATATATATATATATATATATATATATATTATGGGAAGCTTGGGATCACTAACCAGCTGTTTGTAAAAGTAAAAGCGTATAGTTCCTTCAAAAGCAAGGCAATAATAACACCTTTCTTCAGCAAAGCATATACAAACAGTCCATACTTCTGGTATATTGAAACAATATTATGGCTTACCACTAGTATAACTGTTCCACACCTGGGTTAAGGTTCCTTTCTGCTTCAGGGTACAGGAAATGCTGCAGGAGCTCAGCAAAGTCTCAGTTGCCAGACAGTCCACACTTTCTCACAGCTGTGAACTACTCCACCTCACCTCAGACACATGCTGATTCATTCCTGTTCATTTTCAGGCCTCCCTTGCAGGTGGGTTAACCTTTTTAGAACAAGAGTCCCTGTCAGGGTTGGAGGCTCATTCCCACTCAAAGTCTCTCTGAGCCTCCAGATTCTGGGTCCCAAATGAGGACTTACTGATCCTGACAGATCTGTAAACAGACCTCTGCTTTCCAACCAGACTACCCCAGAATCATCCCTGATTACATAAAAATATCCTATTGTCCTCCTTAAGGGGACCACAATCCAGTTAATTGAAAAACAAACCTGTCTTCCAGGGTCAAGTTTGCAAGGATATATGGCTGAAAAAAATCATGGTAAAACCATGGGTGTCCAAGGCAAAAAACGGATGACCCTTCCCACTGCAGCTTTCCTCCACTCCAAATTAAAAGTTCAGAAAAACTTCTGCTTTTAGTAGTGAAGCCTCATTTTTTGTGTCTGATCTTGTAGAATGTTTGATGTCAGAGTTTTTAAAAACTGAGCTACAGAAGAATTTATCAGTTTTAAAATGATTTCTAGTTTAGATAAAGAGTTTTATTTTACTTTGTTAGACATACATACACTGATAAACGATAAGAGATATGAAACATGAGATCAAGTTGCGTTGTGACTATCACTGAAATGGTTGAGCAGTAATAAAATGTAAAGTTTGGAAAGTTGTTTTTTTTTTTTTATTCAGAATACTATTTATAATACATTGTAAAAACATGACTCCAAATGTTTCCTAATTTGTACCTTTGTAGTTCTAAAACTTTAAAATGAACCATCAATGCATAGTCTGATCTAATTTCTATAGAGTCACTACTCAATCCAGAAGGGTGCAGCATTCCTCGGGATTGGGACTGAAAATGTTATTCTTGTGAAGACAAACAGCAGGTAACAATGAATACTAATGAAAGTGCATAGAAGGAACTGGTTCTTAAGTTTGTTTGCTGTTTCAGCCATTCATGGCTTTAATAATGATCACTCATTTGTAAATATAAGTTTTTATATTTCTATTTTTATTATAACTCAAGGCCATAACTATGTGTGACAGTCCCATAGCAAAATGATCATGGAACCCCTATTTCTTTATCATCATCTCAAAGATAATTACTTTAATTATCTAGAAAAGTAATTGTTTTCTTAGGGAATTTCATAGAAGTCCAAATGTACTATACTGTATTTATGAAAATTGTATTACCACCTGTAAAAATCACTATGTATTCAAACAGCTCCGGGCCCCATAGCAGTCGCATAGCCTGTTATGGCTATGGTTAGGCCCATGCTCCTGCCCTATAATATCCAGTGGCTCTTCACTGTTAGAGGAGTAAAGGTTAGTCTAGGTTGTCATTGATACTGCCAGTCACCTGGTCTATTCCAGTCCTTGAGGAACAGGGAAAGTCCAGCCTAGGAAAGGAGGAGGGGTTACTAGAAAAACAGAGGGGGATCTAAGCGGTCAGTAGTAGAAAATGACTCCTCAATTCTAATCACCTGGGCTTTTATCTAGACCTAGGTATAATAGGAGAATTCAAAGACTTTTGATGACCTTTAACATAGACTCTGCATTTGAAAACACATATTGTATTGCACCTAAGAATTGCTGCCAAGAAATGAAATACAGTAAGAACTCAAAAGTTGAAGGCTGTACAGCAGAAAGAAAGGACATAAAGGTATAAAGGATGTAAAGAAAAAAATGGTGTGCAAAGTAAGGGGAAAGAAAAGTAGGTTCACAGAAAACACGTTCACATGGCACTTATAAAACAACTCCTCTAGCCTAAATTAGGCAAATCATAGAAATTATACTGAACAATTCCTTACAGAAATTAATGAAAAAAAGGGACAATAATTTCAACCCACATTATACCTAGATCTTCCCAAATTCTCTCTAGATCAATCACCTAACAGATACAGTATCTATCCAGGATATTCACTGACAGAAATAATGACAGACAGACACACTCATCAGTTATTGTAATGACTGATATGCCCTTCATTTGAAAAGTGTATGCCATGTGTTTTTGAATGGTCTGCTTTACATTTGTCTTTTTTTTAATACAGGGGGAAAATGGAGCCAGAAGACCTTGAGCATAAAATACGACAGGCAAAATCAATGGTAATGTGTCAATCAGGAGATATGAAATGCCATGTTGAAGCATTACTACATTCTATTGACTGAACTACCTTCACCAGATTAACACCTACATTATCTTCTTCCCTTGATGCCACCAGATTTCAGGCTTATCCTACATACATATACTGTAGATCAGTACATATGAAATGTCATGTGGAAGCATTATAACATTCTATTGAGTGAACCCTCTCCCAGGCCAACTCCTACATTATCGTCTTCACCTGATGCTCACCATAGTCATGTCTATCCTCTATACATCTACTGTAGCTACCTGTATCTCTCCCTATCCTGTAAAATTATGTAATCACCGAGATCACATCTTTTTTTATTGTAGGGTTCTGTCCCTTTCCTTGTTAGTACAACTTGTGGGACAACTGTTTTAGGTGCTTTTGATCCCCTCCCAGACATCGCTGAAGTGTGTGAGCAACATGGTATTTGGTTACACGTTGATGTAAGTATAACTTCATGTGCATTGTAAAATGTGATTGGACAGTTTTGTTCATCTGTAGATTAAAGTAAACATGTCACAAACCTGTGCAATTCTACATATGATGAAAAAAATGCACAAACAAAGGTTACTACGTGTTGAAACAACCTGCAGATCCAGAGACATAGGCAGCTAATGTTATATGCAAATCTCAACTTATCCTGTAAAAGGTGAACTTGCCACTGTCCCACCCTCCCGAGCCTCCGTATTTTGTCTTTTACATGAGTTGTCTCATTAACATGCAGAAGGCTTCAAAGGTAGAAGAAGGTGAGGCCAGAAGCAAGCTGCAAAAGACTCCTCCTTTAACAGTAGATATCTCCCCTGACAACATATGACCCCCAGTAACAATAGATCCCCCACCAGTAACAATAGACCTCCCCAGTAACAATACTACCCCCCGTAATAATAGACAATATAAGACCCCCCAGTGAAAATCCCCCAGCAACAATAGATAGATCCTCCAGCATATCCCAGCACCCCTTGCCATTCATACATCCAGTGCTGGAGTGCTGCTTTTCCCCCCATTCCTGCTGAAAAAAAAAGCCCTGGTAATAACACTTCAGTCACAGTTTTGTGAGAAGCCAACAGGTAACTGACCCACTGGTGGAAAAATGTGTAGTATTACCTCAAGTGCTACTTCCTTTTTAAATATACTGAATTTCTGTTTTTTTTTTGTTTTTGAATGTATAAAAGGAAGCATGGAAAATGGGTAGTAGTAGAGATAGGGATCCCAAATAAAATAATTATATATGAGATCTAGATATAAGGGGGTCAATTTATTAAAGGATTTTGCATGTGAGATTTTTTTCAGAAATATCCCATTGGACAGTAAAGGAGTAAATTCATCAAAGTAAAATATCAAATGTGAGGAAAATATAGCCCTTTGTTAAAAATGTGAGGTAAACACCACAAAAAAAAAAGAGAGAAATCATTCAAGTCAACTCACTAATGAACACACACATTCATTATTTATCACCTACCAGTAGGCAGTCAATATTTTATTAATATTATTATTATATAGGATTTATATAGCGTCAACAGTGGGCCCTGCTCATCATAGCTTGCAATCTAGGAGTATTTTAGCAATGTACAAAATAGCAATGAGGAAAACTCTGCACTGGCCAGTAAATTAACCCTGGGTTCACACATATGCATGTTGAAATTGCACTGGGATTCAAGGATGCAATTGTATGTGAATACCCTTGCGTTTTTACTGCAAATTTAGTGTGCTGCTGCGATTTTCATTCTGCCTTCGTATGCTAAAAATGCTGTTCATCCTCTACAAAGCTGCCTTCCAACCACTTCTACTAATATGCAATTTCTGTGTGGTGCAATTTGATCCATACATTTTTTATGGCTCAAATCGCACTGCATCCACACCAAAACAGTGCAGGACCCTTTTTTAGTCCACACCAGAATTGGGTCGCATGGGTGTTAACATCACACCGTGTTTTGCGAACTGATTTCGGGGTGTCTTTAACTTAAAATACTCACCCACAGTAGTTTGTATGAACAGGATGCAATGATGATGCGGTGTGAAAATCGCACAGAAACTGAATTCCACACCGCATCAGTGTGAACCCGGGCTCAGGGACTTTTTTAAATGCAAAACGTTGCGTTTTTTGGTTCTATAGACTTTAATATAGACGCTGCAAAAAAGCATGTAGTTGATGCGTTTTTGATGTATTTTTGATGCGCTTTAATCTGCCTAGCAACAAGGAAAAAAAAAAATGCAAAATGCATCAAAAATGTGGCAACAACGCATATGCAAAAACGCAAAACACACGGCGAAAAAGCACTGCAGAAACAGATCAAACGCAAACTGCATAGGTGTGATCCTAGCCTTAGGAAGGAAACCTCTCTATCTGAACATGGAACACAATCTCCATATACTCCATTTTGTGGAATGTAGTGGAACTTACAACTTACTTTTAAATGACTATTATGGAAGTGGCAGCTCAGCAGTTATGCAGATTGTAGTTGTATTCAACATACAACAAATTGTAAAGTAAATCAATTATTCCGTTATTAACATTCTAATAAATGTATTACAATCCAACAGGCTGCTTGGGGAGGCAGTGCTCTTTTATCCAACCGCCATAGGCACCTCCTGAATGGAATTGAAAGGTAAGTAGTGACATTGATGTTACAAACTTCATGGAGACTATTATTAAAATTTTTTTTATTAAACAAACAGATGGGCTGTGCAAAAACTGCTTATGAAGAGTCTACAAAGGAGCTTTAATAAAGAAGTCTATGTAAATTGACAACAACATGAGGTTTGAGGTTTGAGGTTTGCGAAAAGTCTGGCAGACTAGGACCGCAGGCATTTGGAGGCCTGTAAGGTTGACCAGGTTGAAAAGGGTAACGCAGACCCTTTACAAAGTAAAATAACAGGTTGCTGATAGCATTGGTTACTAATGGATGTGCTTTATCTGTGCAGAGTGCATCATCTTTTTCTACTACTACCATACAGATTATCTATTTCATAGGGAAAAGAACTGTAGCTCATGGCTACAGAGTTGGAGATGGTCTTTCATTATTTTAATTCGTCTTACCTAATGATGGAATGGAATTTGTCAATCATGGCTTACTATGCCTATCACCCAGGGGTGGACTGACAACTCATGGGGCCCCTGGGCAATAGGGGATCATGGGGCCCCTGTGTCCTTGCCCAAACTCAAAAAAGCCTATGCAAAAGGTACCAGGTGCATCTCATGGGGCCCCCTACTGACCCCGGGCCCTCGGGCAGTGCCCGAGTTTCCAAATGGTCAGTCCGCCCCTGCTATCACCACATAGTCCCAGTGACTACAGCAAGTGACATTACATCAAGCCTATGGTACTTGAACTCTATGGAGGATTATTGAAGATAATACAATCATGAAGAATATCTTATGTGAAATGTTTGCTTGAATCCAGATAACTTTAAATGTATTAATGGTGGTGATTTTACTTTAAATGCATTCTGTTCAAGAGTGTTGACTTCTTTACAGAGCAAATTCAGTAACCTGGAATCCCCATAAACTGCTGGGTGCTGGTTTGCAGTGTTCTGCTTTTCTCCTCCAAGACACAACGGTAAGTTGTCAGAAAAGAAACATCTCTTTTTTTTGTCCCCTTTCTATACTATTATATCAAAGTTTACAATCCTTCTGTCATAACTGTTATAGAAAATTTAAAGCAGAATTCCAGGCAAAAATGTTTTTGTACCACACATTGGGGTTGTGCCCGCACTGCTTGTTTGTGTCTAGGGGTGATGAAAGCAAATATATACTTATCTAATCCGCCGATCCTCCGAGCGCAAAACTGTTCCCAGCTGCACGTTAGCAGTCTTGTGAATGGACTGTTTCCGACATCATCATTCACTGGCTCCGGGTTTGAGGACGGAAGGAACAGTCCACCGCTAGACGTGGGGGAACGCCATTTTTAGGAGGTTCAAAGGACAGGGTAAGTATAGCCTTCCAGGGCCCCCCTGGACAAAACGAGCAGTTAACCCATGCAGTGTGGGCACAGACCCACTGCATGGAGCAAAAAAAAAAGTACATGGAGTTCTGCGTTAACAATGAAAAACACAATGCTAAAAAAACCCCAAAGTTTTAGAGAATTCACTTATTTATACCCCACTCACCAGACCAGATCATTAGTTCATCCCTTTGCAACAAAGATGTTTTTATTTGTGTTGGTCTACAAATACCCCTAGTCATATACACATACGGTATATGTTACATATGCTCCCTATTCTCCCACAGGGTCCTTGCACACAGGGCGGACCCGTTTAGCGGATCTGCTTGCTCAGCGGGTGATCTCTCAGCGGATCTGCTTGCTCAGCGGGTGATCTCTCCGCTGATCCCCGCTGAGCAGGAGGAAGACAGCTCTGTGTCCCCTCCGCTGCTGCAGAGCAGACATAGAGCGCTCACTCTCCTCATTGGGCAGTTGGATGAAAACGGACCGCCTGTCCGTTTTCATCCAATCCGATGGACGGAAGGGGAATTGGATCCCCATCCGTCCCTTTTTGGCGGATCTGATGTCGGCAGGTGTAAACAGACATATGTTCGTTTACACCCACCGCTCCATAGAGGAGAATGGAGACTTCGATCAGGTCCACCTGAAAAACTGGCAGGCAGACCTGATCAGAACGTCCAACACCCTGGTCACATCAAGTCTGACTTTGAAATCGTGCGACTTACAGTGAAGTCGCACAATTTCAAAGTCGGGGGACATGCCAATTTCAGGTGCGATTTGCAAGACATCTGACACAAATCACATGAAAGGTAGTGCATGTACTACTTTAGAAATCGGTGTGGCTCCGACCAAGTCGGAACCTCGCCGATTTGTTGTAGATGTGGACAATAGGGTGCGACTTGGCATACGATTTGCGAGTCGCATGGCATGCAAATCACAAATGCCAGGTCACACCCAGTGCGACCGGGTTGTTAGTGTTAATGTGCAGCTGCAAGGCTTATGCAGGCCATAAATAATGCAATTTTCTTTCCCTCCACCACAGGTAGATCAACTTTTTTACAACCAGGGTGCCTTACATGGATCGATTTTTGGCTGGTCCCTGCTGAACCAGTCGAATTTTGATCCATGTATCGCAGGCTTTATAAGCTTTTATCCCTCTGTCTCTTGTTCCCCCTTACCTATGGATTAAATTAAAACTATACTGGTTTTAGATCAATTTTATTTGAATTCTTGTTTACAGTGAATCCTGCATGAAATCTGTATAAATCCCTGTACTACATGTTTGTGAAAAAAAATTTATGTGGATAGTAAAAATATATAGTATCTTTAAAGCTCAACTGAATCTTCTGTATTTACTGTAATTAGGTCAAATATAATACAGTAAAAAAAATTTAATTTTTTTATTTACTATGTTCTGCTGCAAGGGTTAAAATACTCTGCACTGGCAGCAGGTTGGAGAGTGGAGCATGGTGGTCTGTGTCCTCAGTATTCTAACATACTGCACCAATTACCAGTGCTGGTCAGGGAGTGAGCGTGTTCTTGTCTGGAGAAGCGTGCGGTACTGCTGGAGACCTTGGTTGCTGTGTTGTGTGTGAGAGCAGGAGTCCAACTCTCACATGTGATGCCAGCAAATTCTATTTTAACCATTAAAGCAATACATAGCAACAACAAAACAAAATCTAAAAGAGTAGCATATTTATTACTCTTTAAAGCAGTAGTTAACCGCAGCAAGTAAAAAAAAGGGACCTGGGTAGTTTAAGTCAAAATGTGCTAGTGTGCACCACATACTAGAACATTATAACAGACTTGCCTAAAAACAAAACAGTGTAAGTACTTCCATCTTCACCCGGTCTTCCTTCCAAGTTTGGGGGCTTGCGTGGTATGAATGGCTGAGCTGCGACAACGTCACTCCTGCGCATGTGTGTGGGAGTCACTGTTTGTGGCACAGGGCTCTGAAGGAATGGAATGGGTATGTCATTCCCTCAGAGCGCATGCACTGGTGACGTCACCAGCTGCAATGATGTCACTCCTGCGCATGTGTGTGGGAGTCACTGTTTGTGACACAGGGCTTTGAAGGAATAGAATGGGTATGTTGTTCCCTCAGATTGCATGCACTGGTGACGTCACCAGCTGCGACGACGTCACTCCTGTGTATGTGTGCTGGAGTCACTGTTTGTGGCACAGGGCTCTGAAGGAACAGCATGGGTATGCCATTCATTCAGAGCGTATGCTCCGGTGACATCACCAGCTGCGACAACGTCACTCCTGCGCATGCATGTGGGAGTCACTGTTTGTGGCACAGGGCTCTGAAGGAATGGCATGGGTATGCCGTTCCTTCAGAGCACATGCATCAGTGACGTCACCAGCTGCGATGACGTCACTCCTGCACATGTGTGCGGGAGTCACTGTTTGTGGCACAGGGCTCTGAAGATACGGCACGGGTTTGCCGTTCCTTTAGAATGCATGCATCGGTGACGTCACCAGCTGCTTCTAAAGTAAATATCTCCAAAACGGTGCATGTTTAGGATTGATTTACTGTACTTATAGGTAAGCCTTATTATAGGCTTATCTATAGGTAAAAATCAACCAAGGGAGTTTACTTCCACTTTAATAAATACCGTAGCTTTACTGAATTACAGTAATAAATATAAAAGGGTTACATTTGACTTTAAAGTGGATTTTTTAAATTAAATGGCAGTCCATATAATATTTGGGTAAAAGTAAATAACTTGGAAGCATGAATAGTATATTAGTGATTGTGTAGAGAGGGCATAAATAATATAATAAAATTTGGATACCTAGTAGTTTATATACTGTATGTTACCACTTTATTGTAACGACTTCATGTTTATCTATTATTGTATGAAAAAGCAGAATATGTACAGGCACCCATATGCTCAATAAGCCATGCAAAATAATTTGATAACTATACTTTCACTTTGCCTCACTACACTTTGTACACAATTCCTTTAACATAATACGCCAACCTTACTATAGACAGAAAGTTGTTTTTTTTTTTTGCAGGGCTTGCTGGAGAGATGCCATGCAGCCAATGCAGTTTATTTGTTCCAAACTGACAAGTTTTACAGCCAGAAATTCGACACTGGAGATAAGTCAATTCAATGTGGCCGCAGAGTGGACTGCCTGAAGCTTTGGCTTATGTGGAAGGCACTTGGAACCAAAGGACTGGAGAAACGAGTGGATACGATCTTCGAGAATGCCAGGTAAAAATGGCCATAGAGAAAAGTATTTTTGTCCACAAACTAATTATTAAATATGGAAAAAAGAAGTCTACTATAGTTAAAAGTGGGTTTTACAGTTACAGTATGTCAGAGGCAGGGCTGCTGTTAGAAATCACAAGGCCCCGTACAGCCTACCTGCCCCCCCCCCCCCAAAAAAATAGGATATTTTTTACTAAACTGTTAAAAGTAAAATAACTTATCTTAGTAAATAAAGCTCTGTGTTTGATAAAGTCTTATTCACATGGGCACTGTGGCCTGTACATTGCAAATCATAGGTTGTTTTTTTTTTCCATGTGGCTGGAGCTGTGTGTAGGCTGGCTATTTAATTCTATGGGGATGCATTGGTTCTATGAACACAGCTGTAGATCCTAATTTTACTGGTGTGTGGGTGCAGACAGTGTGAATTCGTGGCCACTCACCCACACCTGAACACTTGTCAAATTAGGGCCAACCGCTGTGTTCGTGTAGCCGCAGGAACAAACTTCTCATTCACACTGTATAGGTCAGAGAAACCTGTGTGAATGAGCCCTTCAGATTTATTATATATTTTTTCAATTATACTTTTTAAAATTCTTTTTCCTTTCTTTGTTTTTTACATTGTTTGGGGGGTCGGGGGGGGGGGCTTTGGTGAAATATCAGGGGTCTGATCAGACCCCTGATGTATCACTATTGAGACAGCGAGAGGAACTGACAACATAGATTTCTACATCCCTTTCCTATTCAGTCTCAGCTGCACTGGACAGTGAATGAACAGAAAGTGCCCAGTACAGAGGCACCTGTTCATTCACAAACTGAAGCATAGCAAACACAGCGATCAGTACTGATCCCTTGCTGTGTTTATCCACAAAAGGAAGGGGTCGGTAAATATGACATATAGCTCCTTCCCCACTCTTCATCCTGCAATCAGTAGCCAGTGAGTAGAGAAGGGAAGCCGGAAGTCCTGTGGGGCAGGGGGCACGCAAGAGAGTGGTTTGTGTCTGGTGCACAGAGAGGATGAACGGCGGGGGGGGGGGGACGAATACAGGAACCAGTCCTCTGTGTGTCCCTCCCTGCAGCAGCTGAAAGCCGGCAAAAAGGAAAGGAGGAGAAGCCGGTTTTAGTTGTTGCAGGGAGAGACACACAGGTGATCAGTTCCTGCATTTGTCCTCCCGCTGCATCAACCACCCCATTTTCCACCCACATCTGATTCTCCTACTGCTCGGGAAGCCCCCCTTCTCTAGCCTGGGCCCAGTACAAGAGGACTGGTGCTAGTCCCTTATCAGCAGCCCTGGTCAGAGGTGTTACTGTAAAAGGCAGGCAGAAAAGCAATATGGATAATGAGACTTTTACTTTATAAGAGAAGTATGGCCAAAGCTTTTTTGGGCATATTTCTCTTGGGGGTCACAGGAATGCATTTATTTGTGCTCCCATTTGTCCCAGAATCAGCTTTAACCAGCTGTCGGCTGACATCACAGAGCTGATCCAAGCTCTGGAATGATCCTGACCATATTATCGGGATCCATCCAAATGTCTGATCAGCAGCTGTCAGCTTTTCATTGCACAACTGAGAGATGGAACCAACTGCTCCTGTCCCCTCCTCAGCTAGGCTCTGCAGTGAGCGTTGGAGGGGCAGAACAGAGAGCCTATTGGCTGCAGAGCTGATCGAAGCAAAATTTTCCAACAAGCCTGTTCAAGAGCAGTTGGTCCTTACATCTACAAACCTTGAATGGCAATAGATGGATCTTTGCCAGATGCCTTTGCTGTAAATAGCTAATTGAGTTCTGGCAGGATGTCTGATAATTTCAGTTAATTTTCAATTTTCCGGTGGCAGTTTGGAGTTTAAAGGGTTAATTACTTAGTTAATGTAACCCAATTACAATCACTCCGTCGGTTGGCACTTAGATTGTGGTTCTGCAAGCTGGAAAATCTTTGTGCAGGGTGCTGCTGAGAGTGTCATTGTTGTGGAAGTGACAGCATAGTGTGAGGTGGACCAGTCTTTTGTCACGAGTTGGTGACAGTGGTCTGACACCCACGTTCCTCACACACACAGCTTTCTCCCACACCCAAAAGGTAAATGTTTAATTTTTTTGAAATAGATATGACTGCTAAGATATAACTATATCCAGAACATTAGCCTATACTTGACATGGTCTATCTTGGGTTTCAGATACTTGGCAGAGGAAATAAAACGGAGGGAGGGATACCTGCTACTGATGGAGGTATGTTGGGTACAGTTTTCATTTCACATGTTACATAATGTAAAGTCTGATCATTGCATAGAAAATACTGTGTGTCATGTACCTGGTCAGAGGCTGAAGTGACAAGGGGGCTCCCCTTGTGGCTGAGTGCAGAGCACCCCTGAAGGTGGGAACAGGGAGTGCTGTGCCCAAAGAAGCACAGGTTGCCTGCTATGGAGTAGCCTGATGAACTTGAGGCTCTTGGAATGGACTTGACCTTGCAACGGTGTCAGCAGGGCGGAAGACACTCCACATGAGCGGGTGCAGTCTTGCTTGTGCTGTAGTACCAGCAGGACAGGTGGAACTCAAGATGCTTAGGCAGATCGTGAGAGGTGAGCAGAACAAGAGACGGAGTCAGGAACCAGAACCAGGAATCATACACAGAAGGTCAGTCAGGAGTAGGAGTAGAAGTGTGGTCACAGATCTAGATGGGGTAATACACAGGAGACAGGCAGTAAGCAAAGTCCGTATAGCAAGCCGGGGTAATACACAGGAGACGGGCAGTAAGCAAAGTCCGTATAGCAAGCCGGGGTAATACACAGGAGACGGGCAGTAAGCAAAGTCCGTATAGCAAGCCGGGGTAATACACAGGAAACGGGCAGTAAGCAAAGTCCGTATAGCAAGCCGGGGTAATACACAGGAGACAGGCAGTAAGCAAAGTCCGTATAGCAAGCCGGGGTAATACACAGGAGACGGGCAGTAAGCAAAGTCCATATAGAAAGCCGGGGTAATACACAGGAGGCAGGCAGTAAACAGTCCATATAGCAAGCCGGGGTAATACACAGGAGACAGGCAGTAAGCAAAGTTCTTATAGCAAGCCGGGGTAATACACATGAGGCAGACAGTAAGCACAGTCCGTATAGCAAGCCGGGATAATACACAGGAGGCAGACAGTAAGCAAGTTCATATAGCAGGCCAGGGTAATACACAGGAGAGACGGGCAGTAAGCAAAGTCCGTATAGCAAGCCGGGGTAATACACAGGAGACGGGCAGTAAGCAAAGTCCGTATAGCAAGCCGGGGTAATACACAGGAGACAGGCAGTAAGCAAAGTCCGTATAGCAAGCCGGGGTAATACACAGGAGACAGGCAGTAAGCAAAGTCCGTATAGAAAGCCGGGGTAATACACAGGAGACGGGCAGTAAGCAAAGTCCGTATAGAAAGCCGGGGTAATACACAGGAGACGGGCAGTAAGCAAAGTCTGTATAGCAGGCCAGGGTAATACACAGGAGACCGGCAGTAAGCAAAGTCCGAATAGCAAGCCGGGGTAATACACAGGAGACAGGCAGTAAGCAAAGTCCGTATAGAAAGCCGGGGTAATACACAGGAGACAGGCAGTAAGCAAAGTCTGTATAGAAAGCCGGGGTAATACACAGGAGACAGGCAGTAAGCAAAGTCTGTATAGAAAGCCGGGGTAATACACAGGAGACAGGCAGTAAGCAAAGTCTGTATAGAAAGCCGGGGTGACATGCAAAGCAGAATCCATGTAACAAGCCAGGAGATGAGCCAAGACAAGTCCAGGGACAAGCTAAGTCAGCATTGGGAATCCAGAAATATAGCAACACAGAAGCACCAGGTAACTGGGCTGATGATCATTCAGCAGCTTGTACACCAGAGTGCTGACTTTAAATAGGCCACTGGGCGCCAGAAACTGTCACGCTTCACATGCGCCATGGCGCATCTGCGTGTGCGTGCCCATTCGCACGGGCGTGTGCCTGAGCACCCACATACAATGTCTGCGTGCATTTCTGTGCAATTTAGTGTGGCCATACTGAGTGTTGGCAGATGTGCCCTTTTCCTTGCGGTTTATCCCCTGACACTGTGCTAGCTGAACCCAGACAGAGTATACTAGAATGTTTCTAAGATGCATACCTGTCCCTTCCATGCAGAGAAATCATACACTTTGAGAGGGCAGACAAGTGTTTATTCCATTTATTCAAAAAGAAAAGGTCTCATCGCTAACCCTAAGTTTTCACTAGTGCTGCTGCATAATCATGCATCTTTCAGTGCATTTTTTAGTGTGCCCATGTGTGTTTTTGATATGTTTTTATGCTCTCCTATTGAAATCTATGGGGCTAAAAAACACAACATGTAGAACCAAGAGAAGCACATGCAGTGCACCATGTTGCATTGATGTGAAAAGGCCTAATCAAGAATAATGTTATTTCTGTTGTTATGTGTGGCTGCATGACAGCAGGCGCACAACAAATCGCACTAGTGGGAACAGGAGCTTAGACACAAGCATTCATTTTCAACTAGCAATCTGAATTCTCATTGGCATTGTGAAATTCTTTAAACATGGGCATATTTATTGTCTAGGTAGCTGGTGTGATGAGTCTATTGACTGGTCCATAATCTTTGCAATATACTTTTATACTGTATAGCAGGCAGGGTAAGATTTCCAGCACAGAAGCCTTTGGGCACACAACCTTTAAACCCCTCTGCTAGGGACATCTCTTTTACAAAGAACATTTTCTTGCTTTCCCAGTCCTAAACTTGCCTAGAATATTTTGATAATATAATAATAATATGTAAAAATAATGTGTAAAACCATTTATGTGAGATGACTGTTTTCAGCTATGATGGGAGAAAAAAAAAAATTCTGTTCACTACCTTTTCACCGGCAAGCTGCCTCTGCTTCTGCCACCTAAAGGTGCATACCTACTGTGTCTAATGGTAAATCTGGTCCTGATAATTAGCCTTTTATTTAAAAAGTATGGTTTCGTTATTGGGGGCTAACAAGGAATTTACCTTTATGATTCACAGAGAATTGGAAAATAGCACTGACCAATGTATTCAGTCCAGTAGCCTACAACCGAAGGCTGACCAGTAAACTTGTATACTATACTAATATGTTGTCTATTATGAAAAAAAAAGGAATAAAATTGCAATTTTTGTTTTCTTTCACTGGCCTCCTGAAAATGCATTTTGGATTACTTTGTTTATTTTTATTTTTTTTATTTAGCCAGAGTTTGTAAATGTATGTTTTTGGTATGTGCCACCAAGCCTCCGACATCAAGAAGAGTCCCCAAACTTCTGGGATAAACTAGGAAAGGTATCAACATGCTGAAACATATTTTTGCTAAATTTACATTTTCTTATGTAATAAATGTAATTAAAAACATAAATATTGATGAATATGTCTGTTTGTAGGTATGGCTGTTTCAAGAAAGATATGAAAAATATCCTAAAGTATTTTAAAAAGAAAACATTTTTTTTTTCAGTTTTGTTCATAGTAGAGGGAGGATTAATACTGCTGTCATTTGTTTTGTTTCTCATTAGTGAGATTTTCCTTTACTTCCTGTTCTGTAGACTCAACAGAAAGTTGGGGATATCCGAGGGAAATCCCCTCTTAAACAGTTTAATAGGAACAGATATCCCCACTAGAATACATTAGTGACATTAGGGATCAGGATAATTAGACAGAATTAATCTCATTAATGGGGACAGGGGCAGCAATAAAAAATCCTTGAATTTCTATCTGGTTCCAGCAAAAATATTTATTTTTTAAGTGGAGAAGGGTCAAAACCTGTGTTAGATTTTAATTCAGTTTGTGCCGTGTCAGGTAAATTTCTTTTCACTTTCTATACCTGTGACACCAATGAGTGGAACAGGGGTCATAGAGAAAGAATGATTGCCATAAAAAAAACTTAAGTATCACTAAAGGCAATACATTTTTTTTAGTTTTTGACTAAAGTGGAGAGGGATTAGAACATCTGTCAATTTCTATTGCTGTCAGTGTCCCCATTATGGAAAATCACCCTCTCTATTTGTCCTGTTTACCATTATCATTGAGAGTGAAAGTAAAAGAAAATACCACATTTTGGGTTGCCCCCAGAAAAGTAATAGAGGGGAAATTTTCAAACGAGGACACTAGTTCTGGGGACCTGAGGATCCCTAAGGAATTACCTTGATTTCCATTAATTTCCTGTTTGGCTATGAGGCAGGAAGTGAAGGGAAATCTCCACAATGGGACACAGATGGCAAAAAAAATGGCAGGGGTTATATCCCTCCCTTGCTCTATCCTAAATGAAAGAAAAAAGTTTTGCCCATAGTTCTACTTTAAGAAATGTGTTTTTGTTGAGTGTCTTTGTCTTCATTGAGAGTGATTTCCAATTAGACATGTGCAAAACAAAAAAATTTGTTTCATTTTGTTTTGAAAGCTAACAAATTTAGTTGGATTCGGTAAATTCGTTCAATTCCTTTTTGGGATTCGTTTTGATAATTTGTATTCAAATTCAATTTGAAATATTTTGACCAAATTTGAAAAGTCGTTCACATTTGAAATTGGTTCAACTAAATTTGAAAAGTCATTCGAAATCAAAAAATTTTTTTTTTGCCGAATTTGAAAACATTTGATCAAATTAGAAAAGTTAAAGCGGAGAAGGGGAGCAGGGTAGTGAGAACGCCTAGGTGATCGGAAGCGGGAGTTGTCCTCCTACCCTCCCTCCCTGTAGTCTTCTGGGACATGTGACAGGTCCCAGAAGACTATGGGACCTTTCACAAAGCCCAGTGCTACTCATGCATGCGCAGTGAGCAGTGAAGCCACAGGCTGTCATAGCTGGGTGCCCACACTGAAGATGCTGGGCACCAGAAACACAGGGCGGCTGGTAAAACAGGGTGCGAGGGGGGGGAGACGTCAGCAGCTAGTTTTTGTAGCTGCTAACTTATTTATTTTTAATTTTCAAATCTACACGTGTATGGCCAGCTTAAACCGGAGTTCCAGTCGCACTGTGTCCCCATAAACCCCCCCCCCCCCCACAGTCCGTTTCACCAGTTGCTCCGCTTTAAATTGGTTTTCAAATGTTTGTTTGATTTTGTTTTCAAATTTGTTTTCGATTTTGCTTTCGAATTCAAATTTCTTTTCAGATTTCTTTTCTAATTGAATTTTGGCCGAATTTCATTGTGTTATTTTGGATTCGTTTAAATTCGTTATTTTTGTAATTTGAAATTCTGATACATCTGAGTCTCCGAATAACAAAAAAAAAAATGCGTCCGACATTCGATTTGGAACAAAAAGGAACTGCACATGTCTATTTCCAATCCCTTACTGTCCTTCTGGACCTCATTTCTCTAGTCAAAGAAGTAGGAGGAAATACCCTCAGTGGAAGTTATAACACTTTTCCACTCTATATAACTGTTAAGAAAAAAACTATGGCTGAAGTTAGACATTAAAAAGAAATGTTAAGAAAGACTTAACATTAATCATGGACAGCTAAGTCTAACCACGCAACTCTGGTTTATGCAACTTAAGCTTGATTCTAGAAAGTGTCCACATGTGTTTTTTGGGCACGTCTGCAGGCTTAGGTCACATGATTCTGTACAAATTTGCATAACTTCATCCACCTAAACTGCTTGTAAATTTGTTTGCAAAATTGAAAGTTCTTAGGCTTTATTCTCTGCAGATTGAATGTGTGAATGCAGAAAATGCATCACAATGGCCACTACATGGAGCTAAGGGGCATACTTATTTCCTATGATGGTCGCCTCCATCTAGTGGTTATAATGCAGTATTTATCCTATTCAGGCAATCTCAATCAGTCAGAATATTGTCCGAGAACATTTGATTTTGCTCCATACAGAACACAATTTACATGCAGTTTTGGTGTATGAAAAGCTATCCTTTTATTTTTTTGTAAATACGCTCCTAAATTATTGGTTAGCTTTTGTGAGGGTTTCTCCTTGTTAAGTATCACAATATATAAAGACATTATTACAATTCCAACATATCATTTCCCTTTAGATTTCCCCAATAGTAAAGGAGAGGATGATGAAGAAAGGATCAATGATGGTTGGATACCAGCCCCATGGAAACAGGGTTAATTTCTTCAGACAGATTGTGGTCAATCCTGAAGTGACAAAAGAAGATCTAGACTTTTTCCTGGATGAAATAGAACGATTGGCAGAAGACCTGTAAATTATTTTATCAGATGCGATGTGGACATGGCAAAAGGACATGCAGAGATAACTACACTAACTCCTGACCACTGAAATGTGCAAACTGTTCTTTGCATTACATAGTTCTGACTCCTGCACTGCATTGTGTCTTAAAGTTGAGAACCCAAAGTAAGCTAGAAAATTTTTAGGGGCATTTTAGGACCTCAAGAAATGTTATCATTTTTTTTTCAAAAGAGTTGGTCTTTTTTCCTATATTAAAAAAAAAAAAAATCCAGAGGTTATTTAATGCCTCCAAATTAAGCTGCCTGTCCTTAAAAAAACAAATGAATTTGGGTACAGCGTTGCAAGGCCAAGTAATTGTCAGTCAAACGGTCACATCACTTAAAACTGAAAAATGGCCTGGTAATGAACAGGTATATGCAGGCTGATGGTTAATGGAAGTGGTTAATTTTGGATAGAGTAGAGAATGTTAAAACTTCTGAAAGCCTCTCTTAAGTGTCACCAGAGCCAGTGGCATCACTAGGGTTGGTGTCACCTGGTGAGATAAAACATGGTGTCACTACCTCCCAGCCCAACTTTGGAGCTCGTTAACGTGCGTTACCACCATAAATAAGGCCTGCAGACAGTATTAGGACTATAGGATAGAAGATTAGGCAGTTCCTAATGGCTCGGTCCCTAGGAGCCGTAATAGATAAGAGCAGACGGGCCCACTCACCAGACCCAGCAAAACTGCAGCTGGATGGATGTTCGCTCGCTCTGGGTTGCCCAGGGCGACTGGTTCTGGGCATCTTGGCTCTCTCTCTGGTGGTGCTGGGCAGCTTGGTTTTCTCTCTGGTGGTGCTGGGCAGCATGGTCCTCTCTCTCTGGTGGTGCTGGGCAGCGTGGTTCTCTCTCTCTGGTGGTGCTGGGCAGCGTGGTTCTCTCTCTCTGGTGGTGCTGGGCAGCGTGGTTCTCTCTCTCTGGTGGTGCTGGGCAGCGTGGTTCTCTCTCTCTGGTGGTGCTGGGCAGCGTGGTTCTCTCTCTGGTGGTGCTGGGCAGCGTGGTTCTCTCTCTGGTGGTGCTGGGCAGCGTGGTTCTCTCTCTGGTGGTGCTGCGCAGCGTGGTTCTCTCTCTCTGGTGGTGCTGGGCAGCGTGGTTCTCTCTCTCTGGTGGTGCTGGGTGTAGCTGGCCAGCTAAGACCGGTCCTAGGTTGCTGATATGGTTTACATATATGTGTATACCAAACCTGCCAATAACCTCAGTACAGTGTATATGTGCATATGTTAAAGCCAAAAGCAGAATCATTGCTGTAATTTATGTCTCTGAATGTTATATAACATTTATATATTCATTGTGTTAGCAGAAGCCGAAAAGAAAAATATACCTTTTAAGAGTCAGCACATAGGGAAGCCAGTCACAGCCAGCCTCACACTGCACAGAGCCTTAAGCAATCCCAGCCAGTTTCACATTTATGCCTGTGTAAAACCCCCTGCTAGATCTTTCTAGAGCCACTTGCTCACCAGACAGAAGAGGAAACACAGAGTTCCAGTCAGAGATAAGTTCTATGGAAGCAGAGAAGGCCAAATAGGTATTTAATGCACTTATATGTTCCTCTATTGCTTAACAGTGCAAGTAGATCTGTATGTAAAATCTGTTATATGTGTTTACTTATAGTTCCACCGAAATAAGCCATTGTAAGGTAAACCGAAACAAGTCATTGTAGAGTAATCATAAACAAAATATACAGAACGAAACGAAATAAGCCACTGTAATATGAAACGAAATACGTAAAGAATCACAATATGCAACCGTAATCCATAATCCACAATACGTCTACCATCTTATATTATCTGACAAGATTGAACTGTTGAATCTCCTTGTTTCTTGGTGATTTTCATTCACCACGTGTTTGTACATGAACTGTCTGCTGCACAAGCAGCAGTGTTGTATGAGGAAGATTGAAGTTATTAAAAAAGTTAACTAAAGTATTCGGTGTGCTCTTTAAACCTACTGCATCCATAGAATGGCATTAGAGGAATTACAGAGTAAAATCAGTCTAATCAAACAAAAGAAACAGCAATTGCAGAATTTTTCTAATGCCACAGCATACAAGGCACTACATAGTGCTGCGCCTGCCACACTGGGCAGCATGGCTCTCTCTCTATGGTGATGCAGGGCAGCGTGGTTCTCTCTGGTGGTTTTTGGTTCTCTCTCTGGTGGTGCTAGGCAGCATGGTTCTATCTCTCTCTGGTTGTGCTGGGCAGCATGGTTCTCTCTTTCTATGGTAGTGCTGGGAAGCTTGGCTCTCTTTGGTGGTGCTGGGAAGCCTGGCTCTCTCTCCGGTAGTGCTGAGCAGTGTGGCTTTCTCTTTCTGGATTCCCCCAGCACAGTCCTCTTTCTTTTTTTCCTGTCTCCTATAGCACTCACTCCCTCAGCTTTTTCCCAGGCTCCAGGCTTTATCTCTCCCCCCCCAACAGAGTGCATGGCGGGGCTGTAGTCTGCTCGCTGTGGCCAACAATGAGGCCACCAATTTTCTGGAACTACATGTCCCATGATGCTCAACTAGTCTTTTCTGATTGGCCCTCAGCTGTCACCAATAGGGAGGGAAACAGCGGGCAGTAAGCTGAGCGGTGAACCGGATGAGAGCCACTCTCATTTCTCGTACACTGCTGACAGGAGTGGGGGGCGAGTGGGGGGCAAAACTCTGATAGCTCGCCTTCCCCATCACAGTTCTCTGGCGGAACTAGCAGGTGGGAGGAAAAAGCCTGCTGTCAACACTTCACTGGCTTGCTTGACAACACCCTACTTGATGATGGTGTCACCCCTCCCTCTGGCGGACCGCACCCCCATAGCAACACTACTGAGCAGAACATTTGTCCAATTTCCAATACCCCCCCCCCCCCCTCCCCCCCCCTCATCTGGTGACAAGCATTGATATTTTAACAAAAAAAAAAAAAAAAAAAACAAAAAAAAAAAAAAAAAAAAAAACCAAAAAAACAAAAAAAAAAAAAAAAAAAAAAAAAAACAAAAAAAAAAAAAAAAAAAAAAAAAAAAAAAAAAAAAAAAAAAAAAAAAAAAAAAAAAAAAAAAAAAAAAAAAAAAAAAAAGACAAAAGAATTATTCATGATTTTCAGTGTGCTGCCACGCAGTTTTACTGTTTAGCAGTTGTTATTTACATGTTATGTTATAATGTTATTTGGTATCATCCACACACTCCTGCTGTTTCTGACTAGTTGGTTGCTTCCACCCTTCATTTCTGGTTGTAACACAATTTTTGTTTAGCGGTTATCAAGATGCTGTAGAGTGAGGAAGCTATGTAACATCACTGGAAATTTACCTATGAAAACACCTTTATGTTCATACCTTTGTTACCTTGAAGCATAAAGAAGCGTTGGAAAACACCTCTGAAGTTGTTATTCATTGAGTAAACTATCTGTTAAGGCAATCATTCAACTTGCTGCACACATTCTGACAGACTGGGTCTAAACGAATCTCGCCACAAGTACAACCGATGCCAAGACAGAACAGTAAATTTCCAGTAAATCTCCATGAGAATCCATCACACAGCCATCTCTGCAGCTTCAGAACTGTGAGTAACCATTCTCCTATATCAGCGGTTCTCAACCTGGGGGTCGCGACCCCTTTGGGGGTCGAACGACGCTTCCACAGGGGTCGCCTAAGACCATCGGAAAACACATATTTCCGATGGTCTTAGGAACCGAGACGCCACTCCTCGCCGCCGCCGCCACCGCCATCTCCAGGTGTGGGCAGGATGACATGCCGCCCCTGTCATCTGGACACACCTCGAGATCAATCCTCGCCTGTGATTGGCCGACGGCACTGTAGCTCAGGAGAGGCACACAGGCGGCCAATCACCGGCAAAGAGGTGGAGCTTGGAGAGGAGGAGCCGAGCGGTACCGCGAAGATCGAGCGAGTGAAGAGGAGGAGAGCGGCCGGAGAAGGAAGACATCTGACAGGTAAGTGTTGGTGCCATGGGAGAGGGAGGGAGCGAGCGAGCCCAGGCTGGAGCAGGGGTCTGCAAGGTAAGTATCATTGGTGTCAGTGGGAATAGTGCCCCATCATTGGTGTCACTAATACCAATGATGGGGCACTATTCCTCCCACTGACACCAATGATGGGACACTATTCCTCCCACTGACACCAACGATGGGACACTATTCCCCCCCACTGACACCAACGATGAGGCACGATTCCTCCCCCAAATGACACCAATGATGGGGCACGATTCCTCCCCCCACTGACACCAACGATGAGGCACGATTCCTCCCCCAAATGACACCAACGATGGGGCACAATTCCTCCCCCCACTGACACCAAGGATGGGGCACAATTCCTCCCCCCACTGACACCAAGGATGGGGCACAATTCCTCCCCCCACTGACACCAAGGATGGGGCAGTATTCCTCCCCCCACTGACACCAAGGATGGGGCAGTATTCCTCCCCCCACTGACACCAAGGATGGGGCACTATTCCTCCCCCCACTGACACCAAGGATGGGGCACTATTCCTCCCCCCACTGACACCAAGGATGGGGCACTATTCCTCCCCCCACTGACACCAAGGATGGGGCAGTATTCCTCCCCCCACTGACACCAAGGATGGGGCAGTATTCCTCCCCCCACTGACACCAAGGATGGGGCACTATTCCTCCCCCCACTGACACCAAGGATGGGGCACTATTCCTCCTCCCACTTATACCAATGATGGGGCACTATTCCTCCCACTGACACCAATGATGGGGCACTATTCCTCCCACTGATACCAATGATGGGACACTATTCCCCCCCACTGATACCAATGATGGGGCACTATTCCTCCCACTGATACCAATGATGGGGCACTATTCCTCCCACTGATACCAATGATGGGGCACTATTCCTCCCACTGATACCAATGATGGGACACTATTCCCCCCACTGATACCAATGATGGGGCACTATTCCTCCCACTGACACCAATGATGGGGCACTATTCCTCCCACTGACACCAATGATGGGACACTATTCCTCCCACTGACA